CAAGATGACTTCATAAGAACGTCAAATCACCTCATTGTGTCAATCATGTTGCATCTTGTACATTATTCTGTGCAATTTTGGTGGCCGTATCATGAGCAGCTTTTAAGTTATAGTGCAATTCTTCTGAAACCCCCTACCCCCTTTCGCAAAAAGTAAAAACAAGTGGTCTGAATAGTGTTACATATGGCGTCTTTGGTAACACAGGCAAGGATGGCAAATAACAAGAGCAATTTAAATTGGTTATTTAGATTTATAACCAAGGGTTGTACTCCGCTTCTTTGCTTCACTCTCCACGCACTAATACTCACCCACGATAGTTCTTTTTCAATAGGAGAGGTTGGTAAAACAGGAGGCGTCGGCCCTCAGGGTCCCCCCGGACCACCGGGAGAGAAAGGAAAGGGACTGTCTGGGGTGAAATACGTTCGCTGGGGAAGAACCAACTGCTCTGGAGATGCAACAGTGGTGTACAATGGTAAGAAGACATTATCCTTTTATCTACCTTCTCTCGTTGAACAATGCATTTGCGATTATCAGGTTAAGTAAGCATTATTAGTAGGTCGTATATCAATATTAACACTAGCAATACGTTTATCGTAAAAACCTCGCGAGGAGGATGTAAAGGGACAGTAGTAAGAATACAGAGAAACTAGCCAAAGGATTCAAAGAAAAAAAAAATAAAACTAAACTGGAAAAAATGTATCACAAATAAAAGGCTTTGCCAAGAGTCGAACCTGAACCATCTGCCTCTAAGGTCGACTCCTAGACAACTGAACCATGCTGCCGTAATTTCCGTAATTTATAAACCTTTGCTACAGGAGGGCCTTACAGCGATCGCTTTGTGGGGAACAACATGAAAACTCGTTTTTGTGGGCGTTTCCACCTGTTTTGGTATTTTAAGGCTTATGACAATATTTTCAAGCTTATGGTGATGGCTGGAAAGTGGGTCAAGAGTTCCTGAATGGAGCTTTCAGTCGTATTCTCGGGCATGTTTTATTTTTACATGCATCTTAGGCGTGTTAGTCGAGCAAATCGCACAGATTTGGGCGTTTTTCAAAAAAATACCCTAAAGTAAGCCTTCAGCGTAACTTAGAAGTCAAAGTTGTAGTGAAATAGCGTAACTTATGACGTCACAAATGGACCGTAGTTAGGGTGGTTGCAGGAAAAATATCGTGATTGAGTGGTTAATTCATCATTGAACGTATTGCCGGGAGGATATATACAGTAAAATCCGCAGGTAAAAACCTGGCCGGGCCCAGTTGTTCGAAGGCCGCTTAGCGCTTAACCCGCAGTTAAATTTAACCCTGGTTTCTTTGTCTCGTGTTCAAAAGTATTTTCTCGAATAATTTTCTCTGTTATTTTTAGAGCTTCCAATCATCAACTTGTAGACAAAAAGAATTGAAACTGAAACGCTTTTTAATTTTAAGCTTTCAAATCTGAATTCAAATCTCGCACTAACCCTGAGTTATCTTAACCCAGCTTCGAACAACTCGGCCCTGGATTTTTAAGAACCAGCTAGAACTTATAAGGTTAAAATTTTCCAGTTCGGCCCCTTCCATACAAGAACCTGTATGTTTAGACTAAAATTTAAAACAGGTTTTTATTTTCTAAAATCTATAATAAAAAATTGACAATGTGTACTCTAATAGGTAAATAAGTCAACATCCACGAATGATCCTCTATGGAAACATAGATACTTTTAATTATCACTTTAACTTCTATGTAATCGTAGGCAGCTATTTCATATAAGGAATAAGCTGAAGACCACTACTTTTAGCTACAGTGTATTTTTTCTTCAGAAAATAAGAATCTATTTAAGAACCTAAATAGCTTAAATTTGAGCTAATTACCTTTTATTTAAGAACCTATTTCATAGGGCTAGCTTAGGAAAATGCACGTCCTCGCCCGATGGTATTTACTGTAAACTCGTAATACTTAATTTAGTTCATTTTCAGTGTGAATGAAATTTAAATGACAAAAAGTTTCAAACAGCTTTCTTGTCTTTAGGTATAATGGGTGGTGAACATTACTCTCACACTGGAGGTGGAGTGAACTATCTTTGCCTTCCAAACACTCCAAAGTACGACAGATACAGCGACGGCTCTCAAACGGTAGGATACGTTTACGGCACCGAGTATCAAGTTAGTAGCTATAGTGGGTATCCTTTCAGACGAAATCTCCATGATCATGAGGCGCCGTGCGCTGTCTGCTTTGTCAAATCACGTGCTTCAATGCTGATGATGCCCGCACGAAATGATTGTCCATCTGGATGGACCGAAGAGTATCATGGGTATCTGATGACTTCATATTACGGTCACAAAAACCAAAAAGACTTCGTCTGTGTTGACAAAGACCCAGAGTATGTTCCGGGGACTAATACGAACAAGGGTGGTGCCTTGCTGTACCACGTTGAAGGGCAATGTGGCTCTCTTCCATGCCTTCCATATGTTCAGTATCGAGAGCTGACATGCGCGGTGTGCACAAAGTGAGAGTGAACGTCGCACAAACCTTATGTAGCCGAAAACACTGTAGCCCAAAAGCTCAAGAGTATGTCTTTATCATAAAAGATATATTGTAATAAAAAAGGCAGACAACGCAATGCCTTTCTATTTAGAAATAGACTTGAAAATCTATCATGCAGCTCTTCAAAAAAACAGTGTTCTTAATAATATGTCCAGTAGATCATTTGTATGTGTATATCCTTTGGTACTTCAGTAGTCTGATACCAGTGCAGTTTATGGTCATTGCAGCCTATACTATTTTTCACGAAAACTTCATACGGCCGTTCGAAATATAAGAAGAGTAAAAACTGAGGATCCTTAAATCCGTCACTTTTGGTTGTTTTTTGTCGCTTTGGTGGTTATTAATGACAAAGCAATTGTACTATAGCATAAAGTATCCTTACACGTCAATAGTAGAGTAATGTACGTAGAAACAAATTCTTAGCTAAGTAAAATACTAAAATTTGTTGAGAGTTGAATAAGATAAAAACATCAGGACCCTTTCTGATTAGAACTAATACGATACCCCTCCCCAGAGTTTTTGATATGTTGCAGTATTTCGAAACGATTTTACCTTTAGTGGAAAGCCTTTGATGTTCTTAACAAGATGAGGTATATTTTATGGGTGGTCGCGCTGCTGGAGGCCTGTGACGTCACCAACAACGGTCGCCATCTTGACCGCCATCTTGGATTTTGCCAAGAATTAGAAATCAGGTTAAAACCGCGAGAAATAGCAATTTTTTGCGCTTGACATTAAAAAAAACACACAAAATAAGCACTTTGCATGATTTTAGCCACAAGATTTACTTTTATTGATGAAAGACGCTAAAAAAACATGTATTTTCACCCAAAAATGGCTTGAACACCGACTACTTATGACGTCATATCTCGTAACCATAGCAACTGTTCATCACTGAACTTGTCTCAAAATGTGTGCAGGGATGAACAAACAGCTACTGAAAACGTCAGGTGCTGATGTTTTAACCCCTAGAAAAAAAAAAACTTAAAAAAACCATCCCTGTCTTGAAAATGACTAATACTGCGAAATCAACTCTTACATTTATTGCATGGAAGGAAAAAATTGCAACCTCCTAGCAGATTCCTTCATTTAATTAATGACAACATTTATCACTACAATGCTCTACGAGTTTTTGCTGAAGGAAAATGCCAACAATCCTCTGTGACTTCTAAGTGCTGATGATATCAACAGATTACATAGCGTGGTCGTTAAAAATTATTTTTATTAATAAAATAACAACCTGTCCATCGAAAAAGCTCAGTCTCAAGAATGATCGACTTTTTTTCCTTGTAACCAAGTTTCTCTTGGTCTGCGGTACGTCCGTCCGAAAACTGATTCCCGGATTCAGAAAAAAGGAAAAAGTACAAGTAATCCTAACTTGAAACTAATCGTGTTCCTTTCTTTCCCAGTTTTTGCCTAAATTGTGGTAATGTGATACAAGGAAGTTGTCAAACCGCGGTATAATCATGAGGATTTTGCAGTGTCCTTAAAAACACCTCACCGGTCCGACAACTTCCTTGATATTACATTACTGCACTAACGTGCTGACAAATTACTTCCCGATTTCTGGCGACATATATAATTGGATAGCATCTGACCAGAACGATTAACTTCATGATCAGTTGAGTTCTGACACCAGTTCATACGTTCGAAGACAGTCAGTCTAATTGGTACAGCTGAAGCTATATCATTGGCGAGCTCCTCTTCAGAAGGCTAAATACCTTGTTACCGTTACACCCCTTTTCAAACAGTGTCTAAAATGGGAGATGAAAAATCTACGACCAGTTCAAAGCCTTCAAAGCCAAACAGTGTACTGAATTTTGTCATGGTGACAATCCTGATCGCATGCATTGTCTTCCAAATGGCTGTCTGCGTCTACAACTATCACCAGTTCACAACGTTAAACGAACGCATGAGTAATCTGGAAAACACAGTGGAAGATATCCCTAAAATTGCTAGTTCTAATGAGACGATCTTGGATCATAGCAAGGCGTTGCGAGAAAGACGGTCCGTTCAAAAATCAGCCACAAATCTGCAAAGTCTGGCTAAGCGAGTAGTAGAGCTTGAGAAGAGGTAAGCAGGTATTATACTGGGAAGCAACTGATTCGCACCTTTAATGCTACATAGCTCTGATGTTTAAGATTAGACCGTTCGGGTGTTTAAGATGACTAGATGAGATCCATTGAAAAAATTTGAAGAAATTGCGAAGTAACATTTTCATTTTTTGCGATTTTTTTCTTCACGATCTGCTCAGAAATTGCCGCAAAAAAAAATTAGACAAAAAAAGCTCCGGGTGTTTTTAAACACTATCCAGCATGTTTTTAAACACTATCTAGCAGATAAATCTTAGCGAAACGAATTGCGTTATCCACAGGACAAGGATTCATCCTTTTGAAAAACTGCGGCTTCAGTGCTATTGACACAAGTGTCAATGAACAGAGCACAAGGGTACTAATTTAGGATAGTCCTACGTTGGACGTGACCTCCATGGTACGTCTAGTCATTTGCGGTATTCAGGATTTTCTTCCCGTATAGCTTATGCTTGAAAGGGTAGGGAGGGTAAGCAAAGACGTTTCGAGCGTACATCAACGTGAAGTAGTGGAGAACATTTTGCATTCTTAGGCTGTGGTCAGTGTTGCCCGAATCGGGCAGATCGTCTCCGTAAGATCGTCTCCGTAAGAGTAAAGACACTTAGCAGTGCAGGTTTGGTAGAGCCAAAGCTTATCAAAAGGGAAAAGGTCTCACCCTCGGTTGACCGTACGTCTCTTAAACAAACGTAACGAAGGTACTTCAGGGGCATCCAACGTCAATTTTCGGAAAATATCTTTTCGGAAGACGATTTGACATCTAGTCAGAATTTTCGGAACATTTGTTGTAAAACTTCTTGCTTGCCTGCCTCTCCTAGGATTTTCGAACATCTGAAAAATGGTATAATTGCCAATTTTTAACGGATTTTTACCCTAAAAAGGTGACCTAGAATTTTCGGGAGCCTTTTTTCTGGCTGAAATTTTTGAAAAGGTAAGTTTTGATTCCTATAATTTTCGGATCACTAGACTTTCAGCTAGAAAATCCGAACAGATGAAAATGTTGAAGGGATAAAAATATGCCTATATCTACCGATTAAATACTGAAATACGTTTAACAATGCTATGTTTAAGTGGTTTTGAACTATATTGTCGTTGGGTGCCCCTGTTACTTCCTTCAAAGCTCATGATTAAAACGGCACAACGTGGCCTTTAAAAATGAGTTACTCTTAACATCGCTTCTACTTACAAAATGACACGACAAGTTTTTTAACAGAAGTCATACTTCCTGTATTGCTCAAACAGGAGCAACTTCCCTCATCGCTTTTGCTTTCAAAATGACACAGCGTCTCAGTTTTCAAACAGAATTTATACTTCCTGCATTGCCGCTGTTAGCAAAATGACACGACAAATCCTTCAAACAATAACAACTTGTCGCATCGCTTCTGCTTCCAAAATAGCCTCCCTGCAGACGTCCTTTGGGAGTTCGTTCGTCACGCATTCATTTCTCCCCCACGGGGGAGAAATGAATGCGTGACGAACAAACCCTAAAGGACGTCTGCGGGGTTTTCAAACAGAATCATACCTCCCTGCATTACTCCTAGGATGATGCTGTTGATCGGCGAAAGCTTGGATTGTAATTTTATTCTTTTTATCAGCAGCTTAAGGCCGTATTAGAACAATATTTTTATTTTTTACTCCTATTAGACATTATAAGCCCTTTTGAACTTACTTATATCTGAAATTATTTTGAAATTCTATAAGTGAAAGGTCAAGACAACCTCCAAAACACAACAGTTACTATAAATTTATACAAATTAAGCTAATATTTACTAAAACTCTTGGACTAAATTTCCACTTAATAACCGTCAACCGTCAAAATCGGCGAAAATTAACGGTCAACCGTCCAAGCTACCATCCCATTGAGACCATCTAGTAATGAGTAAATGAATCAGTTACAAAAGCATTCTATTCTTTTTGGTCACATTTCTGCCGATTTTTTTACTTTTTTTACTAGATTACGCGAGTACAATAAAACTGTTGCTGAAAGAGGTCCCGCTGGAAATTTTCTACGAGGTAAGCAATAGATTTACTTCCATTCACATCGGCCAGAGTTTCGAAAAGAAAAGCACTTGACTGTGCTTTTCATACATTTGATTTGATTAAATGTGTTGATGACATTTGATGACATGTAACGATTCCACGGCAGTCACTGGCACACCGGTCGCTCAGCCCTGACCGTCCTGTCAGCCCTTAAATGACATGTGGGCAGCTTTATTTCTGTCAAGTCGTTTCCAAGTATAGAATCACAGTCAAAATGTTTTATTATAAAACCTAGACCGGCCCAAATTTTCTAGGAATTAAGGTTTGATAGTTATTTCAGTACTGATAGTTCTCGTGACGCGAACGAGGCTTGAAGAGACCTAACGGGTCGTAAAAAGAGGGGTAATAGGTTCCCGCTGTACGATATTACTGTATTTAAAAACAATTTTAAAAGCGCCGCACCCCTCAACAATACTGCGGCGATTATTAATTTTTATTTCTTTTTTTATTATTATTTGAATCTCGTACGAGATTTTAAACCTTTCAACTTAACTTTTGCTGTACATTGTTGCCATCGTTTTTCAAAAAATAAGTTATTCAAGGAAGAAAGGTGAAAGTCTGTTGCAGTCGCAATTGAGAAGTTTTAAATAAGCGCCTCTCAAAAAAGAAGATTCCCCCGCACATTAATGCCGTCAAGTCAAACACTAAAATAAGAACCGCATTGCTTTTTGGAGTTAACATACAGCTAAAGATCAATGCAATAACTAAGCTCCGATTTTCAGGTCGAGATGGCAGAGATGGAATACCAGGACCTCCCGGCCCAGCTGGGAAACCGGGCCATGCGGGTTAGTTGATTTTGTACATTGTTAATCTGCGGTTTGTTGTGTATTAGTCTTGTGTTAGATGTGATTAAGGGGGAGGGGGAGAAGGCATCTTTGACTTCACAGCGGAAACGCTCTCTCTCAAGTGCCAACATCTTCCAACTTCTGTTAATTACATGTCGAAAACATCCCGTATGTCCCTTTCGCATTGCCTTCTTTGTCTTCCTCTTTCTCTTGTTCCATCTATCTTTCCTTCCATGCTGTTCTTTCGCAAGCCCTCAGGTCTTTTCAAATGGCCAAAATACTTCAGCTTTTGTTTCTTTATCAAGATCTCTAACCATTGATCTTCCGCTTTGAGTTTCTCCCTAATTGACTTATTTGTTCTGTACTCCGTCCACAATATTTTTTCAAATTTTCTATAGCACTTCATTTAACGAACGTAAAATAACTTTTTTGGGAAGATATTTTAATTTAATTTAACAGAGAACTAATAAACGTCTGGTTTTATTTCCCGTCAGGGAGGGATGGAAGAGATGGACGGCAGGGTCCCCCTGGACCTCAAGGACTTGCTGGACCAAGAGGTGATGAGCATCTTTAAAATTTTTTAATTAACATTTTATTATAAGCATAATCCAAGGTCCTTTCAGCATTGCTTATCCTAGCCACAGGAAGCATGCATGTCACGTTAAACCTATCAAGTAAATGGCCTAACTCGCCGTTAGTCTCTTTAACTACGTCACTAGAACATCCGACAGAATTCAGCTGGCTTTTAGAACTTCTCTTTTCCAAGTTTCTCGTGAAATGTTGCACAATTCATTTTTTGTATTTACCATAGGAAAAACTGGTAAAAAGGGAAATGATGGCGCTCAGGGCCCCCCCGGACAAACAGGAGAGAAGGGAGACAAAGGAAACGGAGTGTCTGGTGTAAATTACGTCCGCTGGGGCCGAATCGAATGCCCTGGAAATGCAACTTTAGTGTACAGTGGTAAGAAAGAAATTATTTGACTTTCTGTATTGAAATTTTACTTATTACGATTAATTGCAACTGGAATTTATGTGCCTCAGAATAGACAAGGATGAACATAATAACTTCGCTTGTCAACAATAGATGCAGGGGTCTGATATTGTTTTACTGATTTTGATTTAATTGTATAATTACTGTGATAGGTTGATTCTAATTACAAAATATTTGCAAGAAAGGAGCGCAATTTTAACAGCTTTGACGCTGTCATATATCCTTTTGTTCCATGATTATTTAAATCGTATAATGGTAACGAATTTTCTCGTAGTTAACAGAGGAGTAAGGAAGTCAGGACGTGCCTGACGAAATATTGCAAATGAAATATACATACATTCCCATGCAGGCCGCGTTGCCCTTTTCTATCCTCTATACTATTTTCCTCTTCCAAAGTGTAATAATAGGTACGCACTGCCCACCGATTGCTGGAGTAAGCCTTCTTATCAATAAACATTAGTTAGAATAGTGATTCTCCTACGTTATTTCGCCATGTAAGGTAATTTGGATTCCGGATCGCGCGCGCGGAATCCGGCAAATCTTTGTTGGTGAAATCTGGAATCCGGCAAACTTCACTGGTAAAATCCAGAATCTAGGGAATTCAGCTCCAGGAATCCGAGCTCCAGCTTACGATTGGAATTCGAAATCCACTTTCCACTGACAAGAAATCCGGAATCCAGTAGAGTGGAACCTCGATATAACGAAGGGCCAAGGGACTGGCAGAACAGGTTCACTGAAACGAGGTTTCGTTATATCGAGGTTTTCTTCCATATATTTTACTATTACTGGGGTTAAAAAAATTGTTCGTTATAAAGAGGACTTCCTTATATGGAGATTCGTTATATCGAGGTTCCACTGTACCTGGAGTCCAGTAACCACTGCATGGAATCCAGAATCCAAGAAGTCTTGGATTACGTATATCGTGAGGCGAGTTTTTGCTGTAGCCATTAGGATAGGTGACACAAATTAAGATGGAAGTATCGCTTCTGAAAATGCAAGTACAAATTTATCTAACTCATTTTTTAGGGATGATGGGAGGCGAAAACCACAATCACCAAGGCGGTGGAGCGAATTACCTTTGCCTTCCACGCAAACCAAAGTACGACAAGTACGACGACGGCAATCAAAACTCAGGATATATGTTTGGCACTGAATATGAGATTAATGATTACAGTGGGTCTGTTTTGAAGAGCAATCTTCATGATCACGAGGTGCCTTGTGCTGTCTGCTTTGTCAAGTCACGTGGCTCAATGCTGATGATCCCTGCACAGAATGACTGTCCATATGGATGGACCGAGGAGTATCATGGGTACCTGATGACTGCATATTACGATCATGCGAACCAAAAGGATTACGTCTGTGTCGACAAAGACCCAGATTATATTCTAGGGACCAAGGAAAGCAAGGATGGTGCTTTGCTGTACCACGTGGAAGGACAATGTGGCTCACTTCCGTGTCTTCCATATGTTAATCATCGAGAGCTGACATGCGCTGTTTGCACCAAGTGAGAATAAGCTTTCCAGGAAGCCAGACACATTCAAAGAAACTCTACAGACTAAAACCTCTTAATTGTAGAGTTCAGTAAAGACAACATCGTTCATAAAGGACGTTTTAGTTCAATAACAACTGTATGAGTTCAGAAAATGTCACACACATCAATGTATCTTTATTTGGATCCCTTACGTGACAAGGTAGGGGAAGGGGATCTTCACGGGTATATGTATAAACTTTTGTTATTAATAATAATAATAATAATTTTTTTTCTGTTCTTCACTTTACGGGGGGCTTGATTGTATTGCTCCAACATCCTGCTGGTGTAGTTTTGTGGCAATTGGTATATATCAGTAGGTGTAGCTCAGCAAAGCTTCCATTGTTGCAAGATATATGGCGGTTTATTATAGTAGTTAAGCATCAAACTTCAGGGGCGGATCTAGGGGGAGGGTGCAGGGGGTGCGCAGCCCCCCCTTGCTCCCCCCCGAGATGACCTGCGGTTTTCTAATACAACTGGTATTCTGCAAAAAAAAAACCTATGTGGTTTATTGGTGTTGAAGTAGAGCAAGAGACGAGTGCAACCCCTCCTAAAAAAATCCTGGATCCGCCCCTGTTGTCATGTGACAAATTAATTTTGTTGAAGGCCTGACTGCGGTGTAACGTTTGTTTCAATTTTTGTTTGCGTTTGTCGGTTTCTTTCTTTAATTGTTTTTTGCAAAGAAACTATCAAACGCACAAAAATCTTGAAACAAAGATACCAACTTATTCCTTTTAAAATTGACTAATGTCCAAGTTTATTAATTTTCGGTTCTTGACAAAAAATAACTTTTTGGTCCCTTGAGGTCATTATGTACGGCAATCTAACCTTCCCTTGTAGAAACCTTCATGATAAAGACACTGCCCCTTACGGATTTAGAAATTTAAAGAAAATCCCCACCACATCTGCAATATGAGCAGTCGTATTAGTCGCAAAGATAGCAAAATTCATAATAAAGGCACCACTCTAATAAAGATGGTTCTAATGGTCTCAAAGATGCCAATCTTCATAGAGGCCCTTAAGCTATTTCTAAAAAACAGTTGCCTTTATAACGCAACGTGTTCATGTGTTCAGCTAGTTTGATCCACCCCTTTGGTTTTCGTATTGGGGATCGAAATTTGACTGCAGGTATTTTGTCGTAAATCAGTAATCACAGAAGGCATTGTTTGCGAAAAGATCTGTTATACTTAAGCCGTTTAGACCATGTAAAGACAGTTAACCTGCGTGGCAGGCGCAAAAAGGGGAGGGAAGGGGAGGAGGAAAAGAGCGCAAAAGGGAATAGGGAGAGGAGTCTTACCCTCTCACCCCAATTCTCCTTCCTTTTTCCCTTCTTCCCAATCCCCTACCCTTTTCGACGCCTGCTGCGCAGGCTAAAGACAGTACACTCAATTGTCGCAGCATGAGTCTGTCAATTTAATGTATTAGTCTTTTAGTTTTTTTGCTGTCAAAAGCAGATACCTAGATTCTAGATTAATAATAAAATGTCCTTTTCAAGCAACATCAAAGTAGCTTAACTGGGTAGTTGTGTTGTTCTGTTCGTTTTCACCAACAGCACCAAACAAAACAGGATAAAAGTAGTTACTGAGAAATTGTGTTATTCCGTCGCAGTCGCAATCCTTGAGTTTTGGATTTCATGGTGTCGCTTTTTTGTTATCTTCTCTTAAAACTATCTCGATTCTTAGTAAATAAATACAGATTTTTGTCTGAAATTTTAAAAAAATCTCATGTTCATAGGCCCTTGATCAGGCAAGTTCACCCACTTGCACTTCCCACTGATTTTCAACTTTCAAAGTCGAACTTTCCCAGCCGGTCGCTTAGCTATTATAGCGTTCGCTATTTTCGGAAAATACGAGCCTTTTTTGGCTGTTCTGCGTATTCCATGAAGAGGCGCCACATGCCACAGTTGCCAGTAAGACTGTTATATACAGGAAACTTCCCCCCCTCGGAACTTTAGCGATCCCAGCTGAGGAGCCAAAATGGTAATAAAAATGAAGCAAAATGTCTCTGCGCATCATTTAGGCATGCCCTTGTATTTTTTTGTTTTGTTTTGTTTTGTTTTGTTTTGTTTTTTTTTTTTCTGTTTGAGAGCGTTCCCCTCAAGTTCTGGTCATGCTGTTGTTCTCTCTATAATAGGGTGTTTAAGAGCGAATGTCAGTAAATATCGACCAGGTATGGGAAAAATAGTTTTTTTGAAAAATCAAAAAAATATTCTGTAGACTACCCTAGGTATTCTAGTGATGAAAATATAAATTTCAGTTTCATTGGATAAATATTTTGGCGATACGGCAAATGTCAAGTTCGGGCGGTTAACGGCCTCCGCTGGACCGCTTTTTCGGGGCTCTAGACCGGGCTACGAAATCGTATTAAAAGGGTTTTAATACACATATTTCGTGGGTCATTTTCCACATTTTGGCTTATGCGCATGCCCCCCAACCCCCGCCCCGGAAAAAAAAGCTGATCAATTACATCTGATTAGGCGGTAAAAATGTCCTTGTTGTTGCAAAATACAGTTTTGGCGAAAACCAGTCCAGATAAATCAATTATAGATCAGTTCTCATTTATAACTGATTTATCTAATACATTATCAGGAGCCTTGGGACTTAAGTCGGTAATCCTGTCACAAACCTTGTTCTTTATTCAAGAATTGCTAAAGGCGGTAGCGCGCGTTCACAAGAAAAGGAAGACTACTGAAATATACTATTGAATAATCGATAAATATCATAAATAACGTATAAAAATCCAATAAGGAGCCTTGGGACACTGATAAACGGCAGTAGAAAATTTCCGTGTTCGTAAAATTGCAAATCACCTTCTCAGTTTTGAATAAGTCCATTGAAGGCTTCATAACAACGTATCCTGCAAACATCGTCCACGCATTTACAACTGCTTAAGTCATTCAGTCAGAAACTAGGAGAAGGAAATAACTCCGACGTAGTTAATCCTCACACTTGGGAGGTACTACCCATGAAAATCCAGTCGAGCGACCTTGAATGAGCCAAGTTCTATGCTTTGGGGCTTTTACGGATTTCAGTCTTCCTTCTCTTGTGAACGCGTTATCGCTTTTAAGAATTCTTGAATAAAGAACAAGGTTGGTCACAGGATTACCGAATTATACAGAAGTGTATCCCAGCCATACAGATAGAGAATTCGATCTTTAATCCCATGTACAAAACACATTCACTGAGACAACAGCTGAGTGGCTACTACGTCACACTTATCTTCACCCTTTGAATCGCCTGAGAACAAGTACAGTAACAAAGATTCACCAGCCCTACTCTCCTCTTCTCTGTACTCCTATCCTCCATGTATGCTTTATGCAAATGACTCTTTTCTTTCTTATTCTGTTTTATTCTATGTTGCAAGAGGCATGCCCAGTAAAGATACTTGTTTCGTAGTCACGTGTGAGAACAAAGCTATGTATAGGGTAATCTCTCTATTGTGATCATTGACCAGGGGCTGAGAGAGTACTCAAATAGACTACATCGAGAAAATAATAAATAACTGATCGAACTTTCGCAGCTTTTGTAAAGCCTAAATTTCATTCCTACCTTTGAGATACATTTTGAAAAAGCACCTTCAAGCCTTTCAGATCATGACAGCTTTCAGCCTGCGCAGCAGAAGCCAGAGTTTTTGAGTAAATGGATAAAAATCGAGGACGCATGCGTGCACCAGGGGAGAAAAGGAGAGGTGGTGTCCTCTGTACATGTAAAACTAACCAAAAAACCTAACTGACGCATGTCACGCGGGCTAAACAGCTTTTATAGTAGTGATACAACTGAACTGACTCAAGATCGATCATTTTCTTCTCCAGTTTTACTTTTTAATTTAAGCCATGATTACAAGCTGATTCTCTGAGATTGACGAGAGAAGTTTTATTACTTGGTGCAAACAGCACATGTCAGCTCTCGATGCAGAACATATGGAGGGCACGGAAGTGAGCCACAGCCCCCCTCCACGAAGTATAGCAAGGCACCATCCTTGTTCCCATTAGTCCCCGCAACATACTCTGGATCTTTGTCAACACAGACGAAGTCTTTTTGGTTCGGGTGGTTGTACTTTTCAGTCATCAGGTACCCATGATACTCCTCGGTCCATCCAGTAGGACAGTCATTCCGTGCGGGCATCATCAGCATTGCACCACGTGACTTGACGAAGCAGACAACACAAGGCGCCTCGTGATCATGAAGATTTCGTCTGAAAGGATACCCACTGTAAGAACTGACCTCATATTCAACACCGTACACATATCCTGAGTACTGATTGCCATCGTTATACCTGTCGTACTTTGGATTGTGTGGAAGACAAAGATAGTTTACTCCACCACCTTGGTGATTGTACCGCTCACCTCCCATTAAACCTGAGGATNGATAAAAGGTAATTGCTGAATCTCTAGCTTGTGATCGGTTTGCAATGACTCAAAATAAACAATGAATTAATAATAAATTAAGTAAATAAGTAAATGTTCAATATGTCGAAAAGTCCTCCGTTTGCCAAGTATTTAAAGTGCAAACTGTAAACTTAAAACAGAGAAGGTCCCTATAACTATCCTTGTGAAAAAGATACTGACTGGAGACCTTTGAAATTTGACCTTGACAATAACTTAAATCTACTTTATTACATCAGTTTCTAAAACCCTTTAGTAGTAGCTAGAATGCAGTCTCAGTTAACAGGTGTCTGTGATGACCTACCTTTGTAAACTAGCTCAGCACCTCCTGGACAAGTGGTCCTTCCCCAACGGACATATTTCACTCCAGACTTCCCAGCTCCTTCCTTTCCCTTTTCACCTTTGGGTCCTTGAGGCCCTTTCAACCCAGGACTTCCAGCAGAACCTCTCTCTCCTTTGGGACCGGGAGGGCCTGGAAAAGGTTTGTTAATACCCGGCTTACCAGCATCTCCTGTGAGTCAAGAAAAAAGGTTGAAGGATTTTAAAAGGTGTTTGGAAAATGTGTCCTATAGATGTTCTTCTAGGAAAAGTACTAAATATTTAACTTAATCTCGATAGACGCTGTGAAGATCACATTTCAGTTTGTGCTCAGTTTCTCGTTGTTATTTAAAGAAGCAAAATTAATCAAAGTTGAGTACCTTTTGCCCCAGGTTTGCCCCGTGGACCGTCCTTACCAGACGGCCCAGCTTTCCCAGGAGACCCAACACCAGGTACTCCAGGGTTGCCTGGTATTCCTGGTTTCCCAGGTAATCCATCGCGGCCGTCTCGTCCTGTAATAAAACAAAATTTTTAGTTAATAAATTATTTACTTGGAATAAATGCACATAGTATTGGACCGAGTTTCAAGGGCATCTTTCAAAAGCTAAATATTTTTCCATTTTCTACGTGTTTGAAATGACAAATCCAATCTTCCGAGTTAAGGCTAATTTTTTCTCATCTTAGTGTCCCAAGTCTGTGGGCCGGGGCAAACAAACCAATAAACAAACCAATCCTAGTTCTAGTGAACTGAACTTCATTTTTCCAGTCAAAAAATAAGCAAATCCAAGAGACCGTATCTTTCGACAAATCCCGGTTACCATTTTACGCAACAAGACCATCAAAGGAAAGACCAGAAAGAATCCCAACTTTTTGAACGATACACGTGAATCACAGTACCTCGAATTATGTAGGAAAAGAGCTTTTGGACCCTCAATTTGCTGGAAAAAAATTCCGACTTGTTAAATAGCGCTCCGACCCTGAAATAAAAAAAAAAACGGAGAAAGCATGATGAAGTAACTTAAACTGAGTTGTTGGGACGTGTTTCAGTTTCGTAGCAATTTTCGGGCACGGTGGTTAGTCTTTGCTCTTAGTAGTTTCTTATTGTGCGGTTATTATTTTTACATTTCTTTGAAGAGCTGTTTTTTGCGTCCTTATAAAACTGCTTGTCACATTCGCTCCATGCTAGAAAGGTACAGCTTCAACAGAGTTTCAAATAAGTCACAAAAAACTCTTTGCGTCCAAACACAAGAGTGCTTGCTCTTTCCGAGACTGCGATTTTTCGGTTTTCATGTCAATTTATTTATGCCTTCGCGTTTTTTGCTGATTTTTAGAGAACGACTTTGAGGTTACTATCAACAGGCCCTGCATGATGTCCGGAGAGCTAGCCGTCTGGCTGGGGCATGCATTGTGTTTCTCTTGTATAAATTTTTGTGACTTATTTTGCGAGCAAAGCTCCTTGTCAAAAAAGTTACAGACTGAAGTTAACTTGCATTAACGTGCACTGGTGAAGAGGTAGTATCCGCAAATCACTTTGAAATAAAAGTTTGAAAATCCAAACGACGTGCTTATTATCGTTGGTACTTCTTGCAGGATTAAAGTGTTCAGTAGCACCCCTAGAACTCGCCGATTCTAGCGCAGCGCTTTTATACTGTTCATTAAGAACTGTGGGCCGGGCTGTAGTGACGGGAAGGCTAAATTGCGGTTAACATTTTCTTGACTGAGAATTTTAGGGAACAAATGTTTTTTTCCATTCCTAACTTCCATTCCTAATGTTTTTTTCCATTCCTAACTTTTATTCCCCCTTGTTCGATGAAAGCGCTCCTAAATTGAACATCGATTTAGAATCTGTTCATATAAAAAAGGAAAGACACACTGATCCTTTACCCATAGCCGAGTGTAACGGTGCCAAGCAAAAATCGTCAAACTATTAAAATCGTCCACTACTGAGTGACCGTAAATGCTAGAATTAGCGCCGGCGGCAATTAATATTTAATTTTCTAAGGCGAGAGGGGGGCGCTTATTTGAAGAGAGGCGCTTATTTCGTTTATCAATTTTTGGCCTCAAAATGACATTATCTTTATTCTTACTTAACCCAAACTGTAACATATAAAAAAATCAAAAAACGTTATAGAAAATTTATTGTTGTGAAACTCGAAACCGTTACGTTCTCAAGACGTTTTCGAGTTGCCCGTCAAAGTGTATTGTGCTTCTTCAATAGAACAGTTCTAAGAATGCTTTTGTCATCGTAATGTTTTGTATATATGAAAAGGAAAGCCGTACGACTTGAAGAACATTAATTTTGTACTATTACGAATGTCCCATTCATTGAAAGTACCGTATAAGTCTCGTGATACCGAGTACTGAACCTCGTTTTTTCTCGGGGGAGGGAAGGGAGGCTTATTCCAAATTTGAAGCCTTAGTGGGGGCGTTAAGAGAGCATTTACGGTATTCTGTAATAACAGAAACTGACTGAGATCTATTACAGAGATTACTGGGCGTGTGGAATTTAAACTGAGATCATAATTTTATTTTAATTTAACTCACCTTTCTTCCAGGAGGTTCAATCGCTTTTCAATGTCTGATTTCTGACCGGGAGTTGTGTTAGAAGTTCCCCTCTTTCCTCTAGCTGCCAATTCAGAAGAAACCGTAGCCGAATCGTTAACAGTAGAGGCTTTCTTGCCTTCTCGACGCAGCTCTTCTAAAGTGTCGTTGAACGCAGAAACACGTCGATCCATCTGAAGAATGACAACCACCAAGGCAGCGCACGTCGCAGCCAACACAACGCACACAAGCAAGTGTGGTGACACTAGGTCAGACAAGCACTTGCCTTTGGGTTTCTTCTCAGATTTACTGTGATTCATCTCGATCAAGACCTCCAAAATCAAATCACCTTTTTTGCACGTAGGTAATTCTTCTGGTCGAGGGCCAGAAAGCCTGGTGAAAGATACGAATACAAAGTGACTGCTGCACAAGATGATCAACACTGTAAATATATGTCAAATATGACTATTATAAGTGAACATTGCCTTCTTAGTTGTCTATATTTGACTGCCAGGACAATTAAACGAACCAGAAATTATTCGCACGTTACCGTTCCGCGAAAGCAGCCATCAGATCCTGCAATTGCACAGTGTAGAAATGGTTCATAACAGTTTCATTCGGAGATGCTCTATTATCATTTTTTTCCCTGCTAGGTGCAAGCAGTTAGTAGCTTTAACTTGTTACAGTGTAGTTTCATTTGGCACAGCACTTTAACACTGCCAGTTAAAATGACAGAGATCTTCATCCGGAGTGTCCGTGTTCTTGTTCCGTAGTTCTTGGATCTGGGGCTCGGAGGCGACTTTGCCGATCAGTCCAAGTTCAAGCTTAAACGAGTGTGTTTACGCGAACACAGATATACTGAAATAACTTCCTTGCATATAGAGGACCCGATTTCATTTTGTCATCTCTTGCGGATGCCTTATCACCTTTCGGAAGCCATGGAGTAATGACGTATGCGTCTGTAATAGAGAAATTCGACACATGTACAAAAACATTCCCTTGGTGGTCCCCCTCAGTCGTATCTTCATCCTCTCAGTCGCTTGAGTCTGAGTAACACTGATCCACCAGCCTTCCCCTCCTTGCTTCATTTTTTCTCCTCGCCACTTGTGGTCTTGCTTTGTCGTACCCATGCAGCATCCTTTGTCAAAATAGCCCTGACATAAAATATGAATCAAAAAGTGGATGAAGGCCCTAACACTCAGTACACTAACAGTGCAAAAGCGTGTGCATTAAAGATACATATGATTTTGAAGATGATTTTAAAGTCTGACCGTGGATGAATTGCGATTTTTGATTGTGTAATTACTTCTCTGATTCACTTGCATACTGAAGTTAGTCTGTCTGTCTGTAACTGAAGAAACTTCGAGTTGAAATAAAGTCCGTCTTTCTGTCTGTCTGTCTGTCTATCTATCCATCGGTCTGCTGTCTTTATCTGTCTATTTTTCTGTCTGTCTGTTTTTCTGTCTGTCTGTGATGCTGACAACTGTGATGTTCTTTGGAGCAATTTAGATCAGGGTCTTGCTACGAAACTCCAGTAATTGCAAAACTGAGCTGCAATAAGAAAAAATAATGAAATAAAAAAAGAATTAGACTGGGAGGAGCTTGCAGTAAAGTTGCCATTTGGTGCTATGGTACGATACAGTAAATCGAAATGTACCTAGTTACTTAAAATCTCAAGATCTTTTCTCAGATGCATGTGAGTCTAAGAAACACAGCATATAATGTGGCTGGATCATATTCCGAACTAACGGAGTATTATAAAGGTCTTTCTCATGCTGTGGAATTCATACTAACTGATGACAAAAAGGCACCCGAATCTAAAGCAATTTTTAAAAGAAAACTGGCCTGAATAGGCAAGCAAGCTGATGACTAGATTTTATCGTCTTTACATATTGTTTTAGAGTAATTCTACGGTATTAACCTCTGTTTCAATACGGCTTTCATGTAAAAGAAGTTTTGTAACTAAATGAAATTACCGTATTCAAATAAAAGTGGCGGAATAAATCAATCAATTAATCTGTTGGTTTGCTTTGATTTCATACATAAGTTCATCTTCGGTATTTTCTAAGGTAGGCACGTGCGTGCTCGCATATACAGGATACTATACCTCTGGGAATTTTAGCGATCCCAAATGAGGAGCCAAAATGGTAAGAAAAATGAAGCAAGTTGTCCCTATCTATTATTTATTACCTAGAATAGACAAGGGAACCGTTACCCCACCTCTAGCACACAGATAGGAACGAGGACTTTGAACAGTGGGTCACGTGACACCTCATGATACTTGAACATTTTGAAACAAATTTTGAAAATACTTGTTAACAATTATAGTCAATATGACTACCAGAACATATCGGATACAGTGTGGTATTCTACCCAGACGAAGGGTTTTTTTTTTTACTCAAAGAACGATTTATCTGTTGGGTAACACAAGCCCAACTGCTGGGGCCCATATCTGGAAAGTCCGGATAACTTTTCGGACCAAAAATAATCTGTAAAACCAAAATCTAATATCTAAAAAAATAAAAGCGGGCGGAGGGTCCTTAGCACACAAACCAGCTCATTATATTTTGTTTCGTTAACTGATAGTTTAAAAGATTATTTTTCAGCGGCATTGTTAACGGACAGAGACTTTGCTTGCCTTCACGACTCAGTTATTCCAAAGATTGGAACTGGACCATCAAAGCAGCGCACGTCGCAGCCAACACAACACACACAAAAATGACCAAGTGTAGATACACCAGGTCAGACAAACATTTACCTCTGGATTTCTTAACAGATTTGTCATTCCAGTGAGGAACTCTTCTGATGAAGAAATGAGAACTGATCTATGGTTGATTTATCTACTACACCATCAAAGACCTTATTGGGAGGCTGATAATCTTCAGTAGAAAATGCATGTTCGTGTTCGCAAATTTCTTGACAAATCACAAATCTCCTTCCCTGGTTTGCATCAGTCCATTGAAGGCTTCATAACAACGTATCCTGCAAACATCGTCCACGTATTTTAAATTTGTAACTGCTGAGCAAGAGAGGATAAAGGGGACAGAGAAGGCATCCCCCATACACACCCTATTCCATAGGTAATTCGCCGGTCTCGAGTTATTTTTAACACCAGATATCTCAAGGGGGATTAGACAACAGCCAATCATATAGCGCGAATGTGTTCCTCGTGGATGACCCACGCTCAGAGCCACGCGTCCTTCACGAATTGACGTAGAAAAAAATGGTGGAAGACGCGGAGAGCGATATTGCTATTCGTTTTGTCCACGAAAACGACTACAGAAAGATTTCTGCTAAAGCTGTGTCAGCGAAACGGAAATTAAAAAAGAATCGCCCTTCCTCTCCTGCATGAAGATAAAAGTACAGCAGGGAAATCCTTAACACACTGAATATTCTCTCAAGATCATTTACAATTTACAGTTTGAAGAGAGCAATTTCTGGTATTATATTTATGCTTTTATTAGTCTCTTATAATTCAAAAAAATAACACTTGGCGTCCTACTTGCTTTATTGTACAAACGACCGGTTTTAATGGACCAGCGAAATTTCTCATTTTATTTAAGAACTAAGGTTACGACAACTTCGAGTTCACGGGTTGTCAAAGAGCCCAGCGATTCCCTTTTCCCAGGTGAGCGCCGACTCATTTCGCTTCAATATTCAGGAATGCTTTTGATAGGCTTTACGCTTTCATTGCCTCTCGCCCGACATGTTTTCCACAGGGTTTAGTCAAGCGAAACCGCCACGAAACATCCACGCAGCCCGCGAGGTAACTTCATCCCGATTCTAAAAATAACTCGAGACGAATTACCTTTGGAATAGAGTGTGTATGGGGGATGCCTTCTCTGTCCCCTCTATCCTCTCTTGCTGCTGAGTCATTCAGTCAGAGGCTAGGCGTAGGAAATAACTTCGATGTCAAAATAATATTGATCGTGACTAATTTTTATCTCTGTCTGCTACAGCTGTAGTCATGTCGTTTTCCTTTTTTTTGTCAATGGTGATGTGGTAGTTAATCCCTACACTTAGGAGATATTACTCCTGAAAAATCCAGTTGAGCCACTTTCAATGAACTAAGTTCAATGCATTGGCTTATACGGATTTCAGTCTTCCTTCTCTTGTGGACACTTATTTCAATAAATATCAACTGTAGGAAAGAGAAACTGATTTTGACAGGTCTACCGACTCATAAAGTGTATATCTAAGGATAGATAAAGAAGTAAATCTTAAAACACACATACTTAACACATTCCCTGAGTCATGAGTCTTCGTAAGGTGGTTTGACTAGTATGTGGCATTATGGATCAAAGGGGTGGGATCAGGGATCGGTGGGGAGGAATCTGGGGTCATTGAGGTGAGATCAGGGATCCCTGAGGTGAGATCAAGGTCAGGTTGCAATTTTGGGATCGTGTATCACACCCACACCTCTAAGGCCAAATCCGAACAGCATGCAAGCTATTTCAAAGTCACTGCTACATTTATGAAAACTACTAAGGGATATTTGGGACGGTAACATTTTTATGGGATCAGATATCACAATTTATCGGAATTTTGAGGTCCATGATTACAACAAATGGGGAACCCGGGGGGGGGGGTACTGCCATATATGGGCTATATAGGTATGCGCCGCTGTGAAGGGTATGGTTTTCAAGCAGTTTACTCTAGGATAGGGTATATAAATAAGAGCGTTTGGGTCTAGAATAGGGTATCGTTTTTTAGGAAACTGATCAGTTGGTTGAAGATTTTGTCTAGACTAGGGAAACAGGTACTCTAGGATAGGGGGGATTTGGGGAGTTTACTCTAGTATAGGGTAACAAAATTCAGCTGAAGTAGCTCTGGTATAGGTTAAGGGTTCTAGGGTCCCAGCGGCACATCCCCACCAAGAAATTCCTAAAGTACCCCCCAGGGGGGGAACCCACATACCTCGTGGCTCCCTCAGAACTTTGCTCTCCCTTTGAGTTTGCCTGCGTGGCAGACGTTCGAGAGGGAGGTTGCGAGTAACACTGCTTCACCAGCCCTCCTCTCCTCTTCTCCTTTCCTCCCTGTATGCCTCATGCAAAACGACCGCTTTTCTTTATTATTCTGTTTTTTCCTATATAAATAAAGTAACTTCTTCTGTGGTCACGTGTGATAACAAAGCTACGGTAATAACTTTATTGTGTTAGTTTCTATCAGTGGAATGGCACTTATAAAGGAGGTCATTGTCCAGGGGGCTAGGAGAGTACTCAAATAGTCTAGAGAAAATAGTAAGTAACTGGTCGAGCGTTCGTTAGCCTCCCACGCAGGCGTTTTTAGGGGAGCACGTCTTTCATCCCTCCCCACAAATGCTTGTGGGGAGGGATGAAAAACGAGCTCCCCGTAAAACGCGTGGGAGGCTAAGCTTTCGCAGGTTTTGCAAAGCCTAAATAGACCTTGTCACAGTTTTCGACACCATCTTGACGAGTAGGCAAACGTGTGAGAAATTATAGCGTTTGTACGAAAACAGTAATGTCGAATAATCTCCGTAAAACGACTGTTCTGAAAAACATATCAATTGTAAACTAAGACTACTAAGCAAAGGATTGCACTAAAAAATTTGGGGGGCGTACCTGTGCTTAAATTTCTCCAGAGGCTTGCTTTATAGATTTTCCATATATTTGTCTGTAATTTTTCCCGGTACTTTCTTACAGACAAATGTATAGGAAATTTTAAAGAGTGGTTCTATGTCTTCTAGCGCACGTAACGCCCTCAGTTTTTTTCAGTAGAATCTTTAGGAGTGAAGCTTTAGTTTACAATTGATATTTTCTTTCAGAACGGCCGTTCTACGGAAATTGTTCGACATTAGATTCTCATAAAAACACTGTAATTTCTCACGCATTTGCATATTCGTCAAGATGGCGTCGAAAACTGTGACAAGGTCTATTAAAATGATACCTTTGACATGCATCTTGAAAAACCACGGATCACGACAGCTTTACAGTAGTGATACAAACTGACTCAAGATCGGTTTTCATTTTCTTCTTCAGGTTTATTTTTCGACCATGATTACAAACTGATTCTCTGAGATTGACGGGAGAATGTTTTATTACTTGGTGCAAACAGCACATGTCAGCTCTCGATGCTGAACATATGGAAGGCAAGGAAGAGAGCCACAGTACCCTTCTACGAAATACAGTAAGGCACCATCCTTGTTGGTATTGGTCCCTGGAACATACTCTGGGTCTTTGTCAACACAGACGAAGTCTTTTTGGTTCGGGTGGTTGTGATATGCGGTCATCAGGTACCCATGATACTCCTCGGTCCACCCAGAAGGACAATCGTTCCGCGCGGGCATCATCAGCATTGAGCCACGTGACTTGACAAAGCAGACAACACAAGGCGCCTCGTGATCATGAAGATTTCGTCTGAAAGGATACCCATTGTAGGAATTGACCTGATATTCAGCACCGTACACATATCCTGAGACCTGATTGCCGTCGTTATACCTGTCGTACTTTGGATTGTGTGGAAGACAAAGATAGTTTACTCCACCACCTTGGTGACCGTACCATTCACCTCCCATTAATCCTGAGGATGACAAACTACAAGTTTACAAAGGTACATCATCACTCTCCTATAAAGTGAACCCACAACAAATTAATTTCACTTTCTTAGTGACTGAGAGTACAACAGAGCAAAGTTATTGCTACAACAAACTTGATTTACTGCACTCCAACTGAAACACTAATAAATCTCTGAGACAAAAAGTAATTGCTGAAACTCTTCTCATCTGTTTGCAATGACTAAAAAATAAATAAATAACTGAATGAACGTTCAAGATGTCAAAAAATTATCCGTTTGCCAAGTTTTTGAAGTGGAAGCTGTTTCTGCAAACAGTGAATGCCCCTTTAACTACCATTGTGAAAAGATAATAAATGTAGAAAGTTTTGACCTTAACAATTACGTAACTCTACTTTATTACACCCGTTTCTAAACCCTCTTTGTAGTAGAATGCAGTCTCGTTAACATATAAAGTCTCTGAGCTGACCTACCTTTCTAAAGTAGCTCAGCTCCTCCTGGACAAGTGGTCCTTCCCCAACGAACATATTTCACTCCAGACTTCCCAGCTCCTTCCTTTCCCTTTTCACATTTGGGTCCTTGAGGCCCTTTCAACCCAGGACTTCCAGCAGAACCTCTCTCTCCTTTGGGACCAGGAGGGCCTGGAAAAGGCCTGTTCACGCCCGGCTTACCAGCATCTCCTGTGAGTGGTCAGAAATACAAGGTTGATAGATTTTTGGAAAATGTCTTCCATACCTTATTCTGGGAAATTAACAATGCACTTTATTAACGCGATTTTAAAAAAATTCGCGTTAATTAAATGTATCTTAATTAACGTCGATGTAAATTCAATGCACGCTATTTTACAACATTGTTATTTTAAAGCAGCTAGCTTTATTTCATTACAAAACCTCACTAGTTCACGACTCCTCTGTTGACTCCTCAGGGACACTATCTGATAGGACTTATTCTTTTAAAATCGAGTTCAAAATGTACAGAACAACCTGAACATTGACAATTTTTTTTAGCTAACAATAACTGTGAGTGCTTCTTTTTCTCCTTGATATATATTTATGCTGAGATTTTGTGAGTGCAGCAAATTTGTGTTGATTAAAGTAGGATGCTCATCGAAAACTCGCGTTCATACCTAACTTTTGAAAAATTCGTGTTAATTCAAGGTAACGTGAATTTTTTTAATGTTGTCCACGTGCATTGTTAATTTCCTAGAAAAAGGTCGATGTTCTTCCAGGAAAAGTACCAAATATTTAGCTTAATCTTGATAGACACTGTGAAGATCACATTTCAATTTGTGCCCATTTTCTAGCTGTTAAAGAAGTAAAATTAATCAAAGATGAGTACCTTCTGCCCCAGATTTGCCAGGTGGACCGTCCTTACCAGCAGGCCCAGCTTTCCCGGGAGCCCCTTTACCAGGCAATCCTTAACATGGGTGGAACAACTAACGCAAGATAGTATAGGATCAAGTTACAAGGAAATGATCCTATCCTAGTTACCATTTTACGCATTAAGGCCCTCAAAAAAAAAGACTAGAAAGAATCCCGATTTTTTACGTTACATGTGAATTACAATACCTCGAATTATGTAGGAATAGCGCTTTTGAACCATCATTTTGCTGGTAAAAAAATCCGACTTGTTTATTAGCGCTCCGAGCCTGAAAGAAAAGAAGAAAGAATTATGACCTAACTTTAACTGATCATAAGTTGCTGGGTTTGCGGTTTTGTGGTTTTAATCAATTTCGGTTTTGCTTTTGATCTTTGCGGGTATTCGAATTTCGTTTTTTGAGCGGTTATTGTTTTTGCGTTTTTTGTGAAGTTCTGTTTTGCGTCTTTATAAAACGTCGTCTTACAGCTGCTCCATTCTAAAAAGGTAGAACTTCTACTGTTAAAAAGTTTCAAATTGGTAAGAAAAAAGTCTTCAAGTCCATAAACAAGGGTTTTTTGCCCTCTGGGATCGAATATATCACGTCTTCGCGTTTTTGTTGCTGATTTTTAGGGGAAGTTTTTGCGGTTACTATCAACACACCCTGATGTACATCCTGGGGCATACATAGTGTTTTTCTTGTATAAATTTTGTTGTTGTTGTTGTTACTAAGTTTTCTAACAAGAGCTTCTTGACAAAAAAAGTTAACTTGCATTAACATGTAAGAGTGAAAGATAGAATCAACGGATTCTAGTCTGCTTATAGTGGCTTGCCGTCGCAAGCTATGACGATTTAACGGCGCAAAGCGCAAAATCGAATCACCGTTTTCGCACTATAGGCAATTCTTCTGGTTGAGGAAATGAGACCTGATCGATAATTGATTTGTCTACTACGATATCAAAAGCCTTGGGATACTGATAATGACTAGCAGAAAATTTTCGTGTTCGCAAAAATTGCAAATTACCCTTCCTGTTTTACATTTTGTCCTTTGAAGGCTTCATAATAACGCTGTCAACGTCGACCTATTTTAATTCTTAACGCTTAGCCAAACTCGAGGTCGGGAAAAGAATAAAGTGTGCACTTTAGCAAATTTCAATTAACTAGCGTACGAGTTAGGATCCTCTGCCTTATAGGAAGTACTGTGTTATTGACTATTTCACACTTTCGTTTGCAAACATGTAGACATCACACAAAATTCATGACATTTGTTTACCAATTTAATCTTTACAACATTGGGTCCTGAATAAATTTCTGTATCCACTCGACTGGAACAATTGATACAGTAATACAATAATCAAGCAGGGAAAGGAGAAACCTAGTGAAAAAGTACGGACACAAAGAGACTGCTGCACTACAAATAAGATCATCAGAAATGTAAATACGTTAAATACGATTTTTTTTAAAATGAAGGTTGCCTTCTTCGTTCTCTATGCGGTGACTACCAGGACAAAATTAAACGAACCAGAAATTATTCGCACGTTACTCCGCCGTAAGTAGCCATCAAATCCTGCAAGCGCACTATGAAGAGTGAGCAGCTAGTAGCTGTAACTTGTTACTTTGTTACATTCGCGCGCCGGAAGAAAACGCCTGCACTGCAGGCTAGTTACAATGTAGTTTCATTTGGTACAGCACTTTAACACTGCCTGCTGAAATACGAGAAATCTTCAACCCGAGTTTGTTCACCATGTGCTATCTCTTTCGACAGATCCGATTCTGCACGTACTCTTGTTCGTAGTTCTTGGATCTTTGGCGCGGGGCGACTTTGCTGTTCTGTCAATCATTTTAAGGATTTCACTCCAACACAACAATTCCTTGCTTTATAGGACCCCATTTCAGTTTTCCGCCTCTTCCAGATACCTTATCACCTTTAGGAAGTTATGGATCTGGGCCAAGGTATCTCAGTGCGTTTAGGGAAAGATAGAGAAGTCAATCTCAGACACATGTACAAAAACATTCCCTTGGTGGACCCCCTCAGACGTATATTCATTCCCTGAGTAGCTAGAATCCGAGTAACACTGATCCACCAGCCTTCCTCTCTTAGGTTCATTTTTCTCCTCGCCACTTTTATTGGTCTTGCTTTGTCGTACCCAGCATCCTGCGTCAAAATAGTCCTGAGATAAAATATAAATCAAAAGTGGATGAAGGTCCTAACATTCTGCTGACAGTAACTGTAACAGCGTGTGCGTTACAGGTACATTGTACATAATACCTCTGTCTGACGAAAGAATTGAGATTTGATCCTTTAATTACTTTTCTGATTCACTTCCACACTTAAGTTAGTCTGTCTGTCGATCAGACAGTCACTCAGGCAGTCAGTCAGTCTGTCTGTCTGAAATTAAAGAAACTTGGCTCCGTGCTGAAATAAAGCGTGTGATTGTGATTGTCTGTTTTTCTATCTGTTTGCGATGTCGACTACTGTGACGTTGTTTGGGGCAATTTAGATCAGGCTCTTGCCACTAAAATCCAGAAACTGCAAAATCGTGCTGCACGCATAACAATCTTATAAGGTTACAATGTACGTTCAGCGGAAATAAGGAAACAAATTATCAAAACTGGACGTGATTACAGTGTGTCTGTTTTCAAGAGCAGTCTCCATAATCACGATGCGCCTTGCTGTGTGTTTTGTCAAGTCACGTGGCTCAATGCTGATGATCCCAGCACAGAATGACTGTCCATCTTGATGGACCGGGGAGTATTATGGGTACCTGATGACTGCATATTACTGTCATGCGAACCTAGCCTGCGTGGCAGGCGTTAAAAGGGGGTATAAATGAGACAGTATTATTCAGGACTAAGAGTACAGCGATAGTTGTTTGTCTCTTTTTACCCGCCTATTTAAACAAACAGACTAGCTTGAAATTAAAGAGCTTTCTTGGATGAGCCTTTACTGAAAGGCTTGGCACATTTCGTCTACCTCGAATCTCTCGGAGTAGTACATGGCAATCACTTCGAGATTAGAGAATCGCTCTTCAGGCACTGTTGACCTAGAGCAGGTCATTTCATCAATGAAAAGTAACGATCGCTCAGGTTCTTAGCTTGCGGTTGGAAGGGTGCAGGCAATGACCTGGTCCGGCAGTTGTTCGAACGCCGGTTAGCGCTAACCCGGGGTTAAATTTAACCACGCTTTCTTTTTCTTTTTATCAAGAGCACTCTCTCGAATAACTTTGTCTACTCTCTTTACAGTATCCAATCATCAAATTGTAGGCAAAGAGAATTAAACTGAATTTGCTTTTTAAGATTTCATATCTGAGTTCAAATTCGCAGTAACCCTGGGTTATCTTAAGCCTCCAGCTGCAGTGCTTTATCTACTGTAATCGAAGGCGCTAGACAAAGCAAACGGCAGGCGTGGCGATCTTCGTCAAAAATTGATCTTGCATTTGGAAGATTAAGGGGTAAAGAAGAGGAATAGCTACAGTTTTCTTGTAATCGGATCGATTGGACTGGAACTTATATTAGTATTTATAACATTATTTTTCGTATGAAAAAGGGATAGATGTGACTGTGACGACATGGGTAGCCAGACAAGTTTGAAAACTTTCCAAAGGTGGGGTTGCAACCCCCTCAACCCTCTCCCTCGATCCGCCTCTGAATAAATCAATCAATGAATCTGTTGGTTTGCTTTGACTTCATACATCAGTTTTGCTTTTATTACATCTTCGGCATTTTCTCAGGTAGGCACGCGCGTGCTCGCGTACACAGGAAACTACGCCCCTGGAAATTTCAAACAAAGCAAACAAACTTTTCAAACAAAGCAACTGGCTACGACAGAGTATCTGCACGTGTACTCAAGGATAGTCTAGTCTAGTCTAGTCTACCTTCAGCCAATCACTAGTATTATGAACTACTCTTTTCACACTGGAATGTTTGAAAGGGCATGGAAAATTGCGGAGGTAACTCCTATTTTAAAATCGGGTAATTCTGAAGATCCGTGCGATAATCGACCTATTTTGCTACTGCCTATCCTTTCAAAGGTATCTGAACGATTAGCCCATGGACAATTTGTCGACTATTTAACAGCAAATAAGATATTGGCTAAAACTCAAAGTGGTAACCGAAAGCTTTTTCCAACTAAGACTGCCCTTCTATGTGTTACAGACGACCTGTTGCAGGCAATTGATGATAAAAAGATCTCAGCTCTAGTTTTACTCGACAGGTAAAAGGCCTTTGACAGCATCAGACATGATATTCTATTGCAGAAACTACAAGCTCTTGGTGTCTCCTTTTCATGCCGTGACTGGTTCCATAGCTACCTTGTTGACCGCAGTCAAAGAGTACGCATCCAGGATGCTATATCTGATCCACTTCCCCTGAAATATGGAGTCCCTCAGGGATCAATATTGGGTCCAGTCCTGTTTACTGTTTATGTGAATGACCTGTTGTGTGTCCCTGCTTACTGCAAATCGGCCTGTTCTGTTGATGATTCTAAATTGTACCTGTCCTTTCCCTCATCTGACATGTCCACTGCAATTCACAATCTAAATGCGGACCTGGAACAAGTCTCCAGATGGTGTTGCCAAAACTCTTTATTGATAAATCCTGATAAGACTAAAGTTTTAATGATCGGTACGCCTCAACCCCTTAATAAGCTGCCCACAGCATATGTACGGATGCTTGGAAAAGAAATTACCCCCTCTACTGTTGTTAAAGATCTTGGCATTTATATTGACCAATCACTAACTTACAACGAACACATTGCTAAAACAGTCTCTATTTCCCTACATAAACTCGTACAAATCAATAGAATAAAACACTTGCTAGATAAGAAAACAATACTTCTCCTTATGAACTCTTTCGTGTTTAGTAAGTTATATTATTGCTCAACTGTTTGGTCAAATACTAGTAAACATAACATCAACAAACTTCAGTTAGTGCAGAATTTTGCCGCCCGTGTTGGTCTTGGCCTCAAAAAGTTTAATCACATCTCACAAGCTATCAAATCGCTAAATTGGCTGCCTGTTAATGACAGAATTTACTTGAACGATGCAGTGATGATGTACAAATGTATTAATAAACTTGTGCCTGACTACCTAATCGAGGAATTTATTCTGCGTTCACAAACTCACACTAGAAATACTAGACAACGCGATCAACTGAACATTACAAGGTGCCGCCTAACCACGGGTCAGCGGTCCTTCACCTACTGCGGTGCTAAGCTCTGGATTAATCTAAGAGACAATGTTAAATCTTCAGATTCTGTCAAAGTTTTTAGGACAAAAATTGTCAACCTACTTCTCTCTGATCAATCTATGAATTTGTAAATAGTGAATGATCCATTGTATTTCACTTATTTTTTAACGTATATTTATTATCTTCGTTATTTGGTAATTTATTTAGCTATTTTAGTTGATTAGTTGATTAGTAGACTTGTAACTGAAAAACCCTCTTTAGGGAGGTGCAATAAAGTATGTCAGTATGTATGGGAACGAGGACTTTGAACAGTGGGTCTCGTGACACGTCATGATACTTGAACTTCAAGATATGGGGCCCCAGCAGTTGAACAAAACTGGGCTTGCAAGTTACCCAACAGATAAATCGTTATTTGAGTGAAAAAAACACCCCTTTCGTCTGGGTAGAATACCACACTATATCTGATATGTTCTGGTTGTCATATTGACTAATTATTAAAAAGTATTTTGAAAATACTTGTCAAGTAAACAAGTAACTTTATCGGACATGCTTTTTGCAACATAGAAAAAAACAGAATAACAAAGAAAAGAGTGGTTTGCATGAGGTACACAGCAAGCTATTTTAAAGTCACTGGTACATTTATGAAAACTACTAAGGGATGTTTTGGACCATGAAATTTTTATTGGATCTGATATCACAATTTATTTTGGAATTTTGGGGTTCATGATTACAAAAACTGGGATCATTACTGAACCAATATACCTCGCTGCTACCCTCGTGAGTGGCCCCCCTCAGGCCTATGTTCTCCCTTTGAGACGAATGATTACGATCGAGTAACACTGACGGCTTGCTGTGCAGATTTAGCGCTAAAGGTGCTGGTGTGATACCCGATCCCAAAATTGCAACCTGATCTTGATCTCACCTCAATAACCCTAGATTCCTCCCCACCGATCCCTGATCCCACCTCTTTGATTCATGATGCTACATACTAGTCATACCACATTACGAGAGGTCATGACTCAGAGAATGTGTTGAGTATGTGTGTTTTAAGATTGACTTCTCTATCTATCCTTAGGTATACACTTTAATAAGTCGGTAACTGTAGGAAAGAGAAACTGATTTTGACAGGTTTACTGACAAGTTACTTGTTTTGCAGTCACGTGAGTGAACAAAGCCAGGCTAATCTTTCTAAAGTGTTAGTTTCTGTCAGTGGCATGGCACTTATAAATGAGATCATTGTCATCCTGGGGTTGTAAGAGTACTCTAATTGTATAGAGAAAATAGTAAATAACTGATCGAGCCTTCGCAGGTTTTGCAAAGCCTAAATTAGAATGAAATGTATTGTGAAAAACCACCTTCAAACCTTTCGTTTATAATTAGGATCACAACAGCTTTACAGTAGTGATATGCTATAAACTGACATGACTCAAGATCGGTTTTAACTTTCTTCTTCGCTTTTATTTTTCAACCATGATTACAAACTGATTCTCTGAGATTGACGAGAGAAGTTTTATTACTTGGTGCAAACAGCACATGTCAGCTCTCGATGATGAACATATGGAAGGCACGGAAGTGAGCCACAGTGCCCTTCCACGAAGTATAGCAAGGCACCATTCTTGTTCGCATTAGTCCCCGGAACATACTCTGGGTCTTTGTCAACACAGACGAAGTCTTTTTGGTTCGGGTGATTGAAATATGAGGTCATCAGGTACCCATGATACTCCTCGGTCCACCCAGAAGGACAATCGTTCTGCGCTGGCATCATCAGCATTGCACCACGTGACTTGACAAAGCAGACAACACAAGGCGCCTCGTGATCATGGAGATTTCGTCTGAAAGGATACCCGTTGTAGGAATTAACCTCATATTCAGTACCGAACACATATCCTGTGTCTTGATTACCGTCGCTGTACCTGTCGTACTTTGGATTGTGTGGAAGACAAAGGTAGTTCACTCCACCACCTTGGTGATGGTGAGCTTCACCTCCCATCAAACCTGAGGATGATAAACTACATACTTTAACAGGCTTATAGGGGAACACCACTCCACTCTCAAATGACCTCACCACAAATTTTCCCGGCTTAGTCTTGGTGACCGTCAGCACAAAAGAACAAAGTATTGTTACAACAAACTGCATTTATTACACATGTGGGTCCAAGTTGCCCAAAACAAATTATTCACTGCATTGAGTGCACTCGAGCTGTCACAGTAATAAACCTCTATGAGATAAAACTTAATTATTATTGAAACTTCTCTTCAGTTTGCGAACAATAAATAAATAAATGTTCAAAAGATGTAATTATCGGGCATTTGGAGTGAATGCTGTTTCTGCAAACTTAAAGCGTCACAGTGAATGTTCCCTGTCACTAACTTTAAGAGGGAAAAAAGGAAATAACTTAGCACTGGTTTTTTAGACCAGTTCGTAAAAACTCTGTGCGGTAGATAATACAGTGTTGGTTTACATAAAGTGGCTGTGCGGAAGTACCTTTGTAAACTACATCAGCACCTGCTGGACAAGTGGTCCTTCCCCAACGAACATATTTCACTCCAGACTTCCCAGCTCCTTCCTTTCCCTTTTCGCCTTTGGTTCCTTGAGGCCCTTTCAAGCCAGGACTTCCAGCAGAACCTCTCTCTCCTTTGGGACCGGGAGGGCCTGGAAAAGGTCTGTTAACGCCCGGCTTACCAGCATCTCCTGTAAGTAGTCAGAAATACAAGGTTGAAAGATTTTTGGAAAATGTCAAGTAAAGCTAATAGCTCCATCTCGATAGACACTATGAAGATAACATTTCTTTTTTGCTCATTTTCTCTCTGTTAATTAGAGTAGAATACCTTTTGCCCCAGATTTGCCAGGTGGACCGTCCTTACCAGGAGGCCCAGCTTTCCCAGGAGACCCAACACCAGGTACTCCGGGGTTTCCTGGTATTCCTGGTTTTCCAGGTAATCCATCGCGGCCGTCTCGTCCTGTAATGAAAGGAAATCCAAAGTTAAATTATTTACCACTCTCTCCTTTGGGACAAGGAGGGCCTGAAAACGTCCTGTTAACGCCCGACTTACCTGCATCTCCTGTGAGAGGTCAGAAATACACGGTTGAAGGATTCTTCCAGAAAAAGTACCAAATCAGTTTGTGCTCAGTTTTTCGCTGTTAAAGAAGAAAAAATTATCAAAGTTGAGTACCTTTTGCCCCAGATTTTCCAGGTGGACCGTCTTTACCAGGAGGCCCAGCTTTCCCAGGAGACCCAACACCAGGCAATCCGGGGTTGCCTGGTAATCCTGGCGGACCTGTGGGACCATCCTTTCCATCGCGGCCGTCCCGCCCTGTAATGAATCAAAATTTGAGGTGAAGTTATTTACATGCGTGGAATAACTAACGCAAGATAGTATTGAATCTAGTCTCAAGGAAATGATCATATCCCAGTTACCATTTTACGCATTAAGGCCCTCAAAGAAAAGACTAGAAAGAATCCCGATTTTTTACGTTACATGTGAATTACAATACCTCGAGTTATGTAGGAATAGCGCTTTTGAACCATCAATTTGCTGGCAAAAAAATCCGACCTGTTTATTAGCGCTCCGACCCTGAAAGCAAAGAAGAAAGAAATATGACCTAACTTTCACTGAGTTGCTGGGTTTACGGTTTTGTGGTTTTTAATCAATTTCGGTTTTGCTTTTGATCTCTGCGGTTTTTCGAATTTCCTTTTTTGAGCGGTTATTGTTTTTGCGTTTTTTGTGAAGTTCTGTAAGTTTTGCGTCTTTATAAAACTTCGTGTCGCAGTTGCTCCATTCTAAACTGAAAGGTAGAACTTCTACAAAACAGTTACAAAGTTTCAAATTGGTCACAAAAAAGCTTTTTTTGCCCATTTTTAGGGGACGTTTTTGCAGTTACTATCAACGGCGCATTGATCTCCTTCCTGGGGCATACATAGTGTTTTTCTGGTATAAATTTTGTTGTTGCTACTTTTACTAACAAGAGCTCCTTGCCAAAAACAGTTTACTTGCATTAACGTGCATTTCTGGTAGGATTTTAATTCTAGTAGCTTAGTAGCACCTCAAGAGCTTGCAGTCGCAAGCTATGACGATTCTACGCACAGAGCAATTTTTCATTACTAATTGGCCGGTATGGGCGGTCATAAAAGGCTAACTGTTAACATCATTTCGACAGAAAACTTTGGGGAAGCAGCGTTTTAGTTTAATTTTTTTTTCTTCCCTAGCTTGTATTTCACCTTCGTCTTTATAAATTCACTACAATACTTATTGACTACATCCATTCATTCTCGAGTCTATTTTGCCAAAAATTAAGACACACTGACCTTCACGCGCAAGTCTAACAACAGCAAAATAGCCATACCATTAAGAACCCATCCTCATGTCCGAGCTATTCTTTAATAACAGAAACTGACTGAAATCTAATACTGAGGTTAGGGAGCGTCTTAGAACTTGTGATTATAATCTGATTTCATTTAACTCGCCTTTCTTCCACAGCCTTCAATCGCTTTTCAATGTCTGATTTCTGACCGGGAGTTGTGTTTTAAATTGCCCTCTTTGCTCTAGTGCCCAATGCAGAAGACACCGTTGCAGAGATGTTAGCAGTAAAGGCTTGTTTGCCTTCTCGACGCAGTTCCTCCAACGTAGAAATACGACGATCCATCTGAAGAATGACAACCACCAAAGCAGCGCACGTCGCAGCTAACACAACGCTCACAAGCAAGTGTGGGGACACTAGGTCAGACAAGCATTT